CCAGTTCCTGCCCTCGGGCTCCCGGAGCATCCCCGGTCCCTGAACTCAGGGTGACTCCTGGGTCCTTCCCTGCACTGGCCACGCTGGGATCTGACAGGATCTGGGTGCTGAGACACTCCCACCCTCGCCAAGGTCACGGCGAAGCTCCGCGACACCGAGCGCTGCCCTGAGAGGCAAAGCCCTGTGCAAACACTAATTAATCCTCACTAACGAACTCCAAATTTATGGCTTATTTAAGAGTCTGTCTGGCACGGGCTGTTAAATCCCTAATCCCATCCCGCCGGAGCGCGGGAAGGGGGATGGCAAAGCCCTGGGTGGCCTCGGCACCACCCGGCAGTGCCGGGGGCTCCGGTGCCAGAGGTGAAGTCCTGGAGGGGCCATAGGGGGGGCTGAGCCCTCACCAAAACTGCACTGGAGCACCTCATGGGTGTGCAGCCCAACCCAAAAATGGGACCACCCCAAAATAGGGACCACCAGCACAGGCACCCCAGCACCAGTGCCATTCCTGTGCCATGCTGGGATCCACGGTCCCATCGTGCCAGTCCTGGATGTGCTGCAGGGGCAGGATCTGAGTCCTCACCAAAGCTGCCTCGGAGCCTCTTACAGGTCTGCAGCCAGATGGAACTGCACCAAAAGGAGATCACCCCAAAAACAGGAGCACCCCAAAACAGGGACCACCGGCCCACACAACACAACGCCAGCCCCGTGCCGTGCCAGGATCCAAGGTCACGCCAGCCCCGGGTGTGCCATGGTGGCAGCGCTGAACCCTCACACCGTGCTGCTGCTGCTGCTGCTGCTGCAAAATGCCCAGCCTTGGGGAATTCTCAGCACAAGCCCGGGCCGTGCCAGGAGCGGATAATGGGAACGTTTAAGTGCCCGATCCGTCTCTCCCCGCCCCGCCCCGCCAGCCCCGTTCAATCCCGCTCCGGTGGCCCATAAAACGATATTTCACAGCGCGGGGGGAGCGCTGGCTGACGGCTCTGGGAAGCCGTTCAAGAGCTCGGACACACGGTGGAGGTTCTGCAAACAAACGCTGGAAATCAATGGAACAGCGGGATGTTAACGAAATTCCACGACCGGCAAACACCGGCAATTACCGGCACGGAGAAAGATTTCTCTGGGTTTAAACCATTTTTCAAGGCAAGAGCTCGACTGAAGCAACAGCCCTCTGAGCCACCTTGGAAGCTGTGGCTGCCCCAAACCTGGAATATTCAAGGATAGGTTGGACAGGGCTTGGAGTGACCTGGGCTAATGGGAGGTGTCCCTGCCCGTGGCAGGGGTGGGACTGGAGGGTTCTGAAGGTCCCTTCCAGGCCAATCCAACCCATTCTGGGATTCCAAGACTCAATGAAATGCCGGTCGCGGCTCTCCCCGGCTCCTGGAGAGAGTCATCAGCCATTCAAAAATTAATTAAAACCAAGGATCTCATTTAATTAAAGGTGTGCAGCGAGGAAGTTGTTCTATTAGTGAGAAAGTCAATGCGCGGAGCTTCATCTTCAGAGAGCTGCTGCAGGAGGGGGGAACCCTCTCACCTCCCTCCCCGAGCACGGAGACAGGGATTTCAATCCCAAATTTGATGGGAACGTGTGGTTTTCTCACAGGCTGGGGAACCCGGGGCAAGAAATCAGCTTTTTGGTTAAAACGAAGGCCGGAATGTCTCAAAAGGGGGACGGCGAGCGGCGGGTGCCGGAGCCCCCCCGAAACTCCCTCCTGCTGAAACAACCCCCACGTGGCTCTGAACACCCGACAGGGCGAGAGGATTCCGGCTCTCCCATCAAATTAACAGCCCTACCCCGGGTGGGGGCTCACCAAGGTCTGTTTCCAGGGAAGCAGCAGCTCGGATCCGCTGTGCCGGATCCCACGGGGGATGGAACACGCAGTGCTCCATCCGGGGGTCCTGCTCCCACCCCAGCCCCTTCCCGCGGGCTGAGGATGGACACGGGCACGTCTGGAGCAGCTGGAAACGCTCTGAGACCGGGGATGGCAAACGAGCTCCAAATTCAGGGGCTCCCCGAGGACTCAGCAGCCCCTGAGGGACCCCGGGAGGGGGGACCTGCCCCAATCAGGGGCTGTTTGGGGATTCAGTAGTCCCTGAGGGACCCCAGAGTGGGGGGACCTGCCCCAATCAGGGGCTGTTTGGGGATTCAGCAGCCCCTGAGGGACCCCAGAGCGGGGGCACCTGCCCCGTTCAGCTCGTGCTGGGGCAGAGCCAGGTGCTGGGGGAAGGATCCCCTCCAGAACAAGCAGGACTCCCAGGAATCCTCGGGGTCCCAGGCTCCTGCTCCCAGGAGCGTGAAGGCAGAGGGGGGAAGGGGAGACGGGTCATTTGTGGTGCCATCCCACGGTTCATCCTTGGCTGAACTTGCCATGCTTGGACTGCCAGGCAATGTGCCGGGAGGGGAATCCATCCTGGAGATCCATCCCGGAGGCCGGTGAGGCGGTGACAGGGAACAGGCAGGCGGTGGAACATCCCCCAGTCCTGGAGCACTCGTGGGCTCACAGAGCAGGGGGGAACGGCCCGACCCCCCAGGGATGAGCCAGAGCTCCCAGCTCCCCGGGCTGGGATTTTGGGGGTTCTTCCAAGAATCCCAGATGCCAACACTCGTCAGGAGACCCCATAGGAGCCAAGGGGACCCAGAGCCTGGCAGCACCGTGGGATGGCAGGTGGGGAGAGCCCCTCCTCCCTGCCAGCGCAATTAGGGAAGCTCATTATTTGTAAAGCAATTAGCAGAGCTAATCAACTCCCAGCGACACGGCGGAATGAGCAGAGAGGAGAGGGGGAG